AGCAAATGCCCATCTCTTGAGCTGCAATGTGTGGAAAGGACACAAGAGGGTTGAGACTGGGCATCCTCTGCACTCATGGAGAGGAAAAGTGATGCCTTGGCGTTACTTCTGGGCAGCCCTTGTCTTTGCTGCTGGAAGGATTTGAGGGAGCTCATTTTTATCCCTTTGTTCATCAGTACTCCTGTACAGGCATACCTAGATTTGGTAGGAGGAAATAGTTTGCAAGATTTCTGCTCCTTTTCATAAAAGTATATGAAATGAGACCAGTGATGGGACTCTCAGAAGCTGAAAATCAGGAGCTGAATTCGCCTAGTTCCAGTTCACCAGTTCCAGCTTACAGCAGGATAGGGTCTGGGTCTAGTGGCTGTGTGAGGAACATGAAGCATTAGCATGCCTAGTTATGTAGACTTCGAAATCAAGTTTATTTAAACATGTAGAATCAGATGCAAAGTTGATGCTCTGTTGTAAGCTTTGACCAGCTGCTTGTCTTTGCTAATTTTACTTATAGTTTTGCCACATGGTAACCATCAGAGCTGTGCTGGGTTTCTGCTTTAGTTTACATATGTTTGGAAAAACACAGAAAAAAAAGCTTGACTTGTCTTCTAGTCTGAGGTCACTGTTTGTACAAACTAAAAAAAAAAAAAATCTATTTTTCCCTCCTTTTCTGGGAGAAAGGGAGTCTGCTTTACAGAATTGCCAAGCACTAAGACCTGAAATGGAAGAGGTGGTAGCTGTGCTTTGAGTACTTTACATAGCTATTGAATACTAAGTGCTGTAAATACATGGTTCTTAGGCATCTGGGGATGGATACCTAGGATTATTAAACACCTTTACCTTGATCATTTTAGGATTTCCCATGTAAAATAGGGATAATAAATTGTTACCTTCTCATTTCACTAGGGCAGCATAAAGATAAATAAGTTTTTTGTGCTAATACTGTAATATTCGTGCTAATGCATTAATATAATGTAACACACTAATATACATATATTAAATGTTTATTTACATTATAAATAAATGTGTTACTATAATACCTCAAATACCATATGGATGAACACTTTAAGAAAGCTCATGAGGAAATGGACACAAGTTTTCAGTGCAGCAAATAATGCTCAGGGCCACTCCCTGCATGCATAATATTAGCTGGCTTTTCTTTGAATAGGTGCCATTTTTTTCTCTGTCTTAAACATGGCACTTCCTATCTTGGCACAATGTTAATACTGTTCTTCTAATTTTGTTTCTTGTGTATGGTTTCAAGATTTATGACAAGCAAAAACATATGTTTCAGCCTGGGTGTCCTATGGGCGAAGCCCTATGCCATCGAATTGAGAGTAAAACTGGACCTAGTGGGGGTATCACTGGAGATTTAGCTCTGTCAGGGGGCTGGACATAGGCAGGATTAGCCTTCCATAGCTGCCAAGAAAGCCCTGTGAAGCTGGGAAGTGGAGAATGCCTAGTGCACAAGGGAATGCCAGGAAACACAGCTCTTCATCATGGAGACCATAATGTACGTAGGCCCTGATTTGTCAGCTAGTCTTAAACTGGCTAAATTTGAATGGATTTTACAGAAATGGTAAACAGCACATTCTTAATTCAGTGGCCAGTTGTTGTAAATTCTAGCTTCAAACATAAGCGTTCCTAAGCTTTTCAAAGAAAAGGTAGGAAATCTTTTTACTATGCATGCAAAGAACAGTATCATTTTCTTTGTCTTCTTAAATTTTGTCAATAATGCAAACCATTATGGCTGAAAATTCTCTGAAGTTCTGTTGCAAAGCAAATGCCCGTCATGGAAAATTTCCAAATAGCCAAACAGCTATGGGCTAAAACTTGGCTAATAGTAAAGAAATAACAAGTTCTTGCAAGCATAAGTAATGGGCTACTTAGTAATAGACAATGCTTGCCTATAACATCGAACATGGCTTGGGAATAAAATCTGAGCTGCTCCTTGTGGCTTCTCTAGTGTTATTCTTATAGAAAGTATATTCTTTTACAGCAAATTTCATGAATCGCTTTTGAATTTGCTGCAGCTGAATGATGACAGGAACATCATACATTGAGTTCTCTGATTGTTTGGTATGTCTAACCTACACATCAGCTTCTTATATTTGTCTTTTGATATTCCACTGGAATTTAACAAATGAAATGGAGATTAATATTAATGGAAAAGTAGAAATTACCATACATTTGTTCTCTGTTTTCATCAGGTGTCAGACATTACAGTAACAGACGCCAATTTAAGAATCTAGACAGATTCAGATAATTTCCTCAATGCTTGATGCTTATAATTAAATTAATTCTGGGAATCTGAACTGACACTTCTACCATACTGTGAACGAGGGCTCCTAGCTCCTAATTACAGAGGGTTTCATGCTTCCTCTGTCACCTAGACTATGTGGGGACCAAAATCATGTTAATTCTGTGGCTGCAGTGCTGGAGAAGGATACAGAGAGGGAAAGGTCTGCCTGTCTCCTAAAGCCAACTGTAAATCCTCTCTGTGCTGAACCACATGTAAGTGTCAATAAGCATAACAGGGAACATGGGGGCAGCATAGCTGGCCAGGCAGGGCAGCAAATTTAAGGAGCCACCACCCTTTGTGGCACTTTGCCTTTGAAAATAGCACACTACTAAATAATGCATGCTGGTGTGCCGGCCAAGTTAGCCTCACCTTGCCCAGACCTGTTGGTACAATGTGCTTTTTTTGTCTGTCTGGAAATATTCTGGGCCTTAGCAACCATAGATGTCTCTGCCCCTGGGAGCTGAAACAGAAAAGGCTTACAGGCACACAAACAGAACATGACACACCAGCCTTAAGTACCATATTTGAACCAAATTTGTGCTGCTTTTACTCATAACCTTCCTAGAAGTAAAGTCTGACTTCCCTGGCTATGTGGAGATCCAGTGGTAGCAACCTCCTCTAGTGCTTCTGCAGTATGTGGATGAGGCATATTTCAGTGTGATTCTTTAATCTGCCTTGCTGAGTTCAGTGGAATGACCTAAGAGATGGGTTCGCTGTTAAATATTCCTTTTGGGGAAGGGAAGTGCTCTCTATGGCTTTCTCATTCTTTGTTACTTCTTACCTTTTTCCTGTTCTCCAGCTCTGGGTTGATCATTCCTGCTGATATAATGATATGACATTATTTTGATGATGAAAGCTCTAGCATAAATACTCACCCAAGAGATGAACTAGTATGCAAATACTTAGACTCAGTGACATGAGTGCTTAGAGAAATCTTGCAGATACTTGACCTACTTGTGAAAACTCCAAGCAGTTGCCTTGCTGTTTTCATTGACATCCTTAACCCTTGGTGTTGTAACTCCAAGATGATACTGCTCTCCAAGATGGATATTTAAGGTTTTGCTTCTTCCTCAAGGACAACTCTCTTTGACAAGAAGAAAATAAGGGTTATCTGGTATGGAGCTTAATTATAACTGGGATGAAAAACTGGGATCTTCCCAAACAACACTTTGGATAAGAAACGCCCTATCTGTGGGAACAAAAGCAACTTAGATTTGAATATAAACAGTATCAGTGTAGACGGTAGGTACAAAGGTGACATTCCTTGAGTCTGAGATCCACTATTTGTCTAGAAGTCAGGTTCAGTATAAATAACAATGTATGAAATGTTTCCCCTACACTGACAGTGGGCCTTGATTAATGATTAATGGTACCTCTGGATGCCGAAGGACAGCACATTCCCTATGATTGGCAAGTCTAGCATCAAGAGTGCTTCTCAGCATCTCTTGGGAGGAAAACTTATCGTGAGCCCTAGAGCCAAAAGGTAACAGAGACGGCTGATTCAATTGACACAAACCACTGAGTAGTCACTGTATAAGAATATTCAGCACATCTTGTGTTTTATGTATACAAATTAAGTAAGCTTCACAGTCTTCCTACGTGCTATATTTTTAGATGTTTTCATGCATTTTTCTGAGTAGTGGAAAAGTGATAGACAGATGAAGGTTCACATTTTTATTTTGGTACTTCATTTGCTGCTCAGGAAATGGTCCCAAACTTGTAGCCATTCAGATTCTGTCAAGAACAACCTAGGACTCCTGATTCTCAGAACTGTCCTTTAAGCGCACGTGTCTCATATGGAAACAGTCTTTCTCCACTCTTTCTGTAGGCTGGGAGTTGAGCAGATGACTGAATTAGTGAAAGGTTTGTAATCCAGAGGAACAAATAAAAATAGTTTTTCTGACTTCCCTAAGCTTCAGAAAATTTTAACTCTTCTGGTTTAACAGTACCATCAGAATTTAATAGGTTAAAAGCACAGAAAAGTAAAACTGAACACTCATCTGCTCAGTTTTTATACCGCAAATGTGTATGTATCCATTTTTGTATTCATTCCTCGGTACTCATACCCTTAAGATTTTTTCCTCATTTTCCTTGCCTTCTTTCAGATACCTACAGGAGCTGGAAGATGAAGATCCCCTTCTGCAGACTCATTCATTTCACAGGACATTCAAGGTATGGCAATAAAGAATTCAGTCCATAATATTGGATCATCCAGCCAATTTCCATGCCAGCACTGCGTTATTACCTACAATGCATCTTCCAGTGCATTCCAGAGTGCAGTGTTACTTCCAGAGTAATCTTAATTTGGGACATACCTCCTTTTCACTTCTCATTCTAATTATAATGTACCTGAGATAACCTCAAATAAAAAAAGAAAAAAAAAAAAAGGAAGGAATGGTCTTAAAAAAAAAAAAAAAAACCTACAAAGAAATCAATCCCTCATCCATTACCAGGTTTCTCTATTGTTCTGGAGCCACACGTGTAACCCGGTTAGACCTGTTCTCTTTGAATACTGAGGACTGAGCTGGCCTTATGCAAATGTTCCCAGCCTCGTCTTGGTTGTTGTTGTTGCCGACCCAATCAAATGAGCAGGAAGTGACCTAAGGAATTCCCCTATTGGCTACCTGAGTGTTCAGCAAAATGTTTTAAAATTAATATCACATCCATTTATCTTCACTTCTGTGAGTCTTTAGGAGCGATAACCTAGTACCCGTGTTTACCTAACCTACTGTTCTTTAGACAGTCTTCCCATTGCCACAGTTAAGGATTTCCATTCCAGAATCTGCAGCTAAATGAGGTAATGTGTTTTGGGTTTTTTTTTTTTTTTTTTAATATATTTCCTTCTAAATTAACACCCCTGGAAATAAGAAAGAGAAGTGCCTACTGGACTCATGCCCACCCTAGTGAGCCCCTCCCTTCCCACTTTGGAACAGAAGCTAAGCTCGTTTGATCAAAAGGCTTTTTAATGTTACAATAAATACTACTGTTTTTCTGTTCGGAACTTGCATCTTCTGTTTAAATATTCCTGTTGTATTTATGCTTGATTAGAGCTGGATTTGCTGTTTTTACTCACCCAGAATGTCACTGACTTTGAACTAAGCCAGTGAGTGCTTAGTTCAGTGCGGGTTTACTCAAAACCTTCTGAGGATCTTTTTTACTATGCTGTATCTAATATTTTGGGTCCTAAATGAGCTACCTTCACCATGGAATGGTATTTGTTTAGGAAAGCAAGGGGTGAGAAAGTGGATTTGTTTAATAACTTTGAGAGCATTAATGCCACAGAACAGGGGGACACTTTATAATGACAGTGTTTCTGCAGGTTTTAGTGATGCGAATACTGACAGTGATCGTGCTGTTAACAGAAAATCCTAAGGCACATTTATAATTTCGCCTGTTTTTCTCTGCAAACCAATCTCCCAGTAACTCTTGTGGCGAGGCTCTGGGTGAGGGGGTTCTGCTGTTCTCAGCTGCTCTAAACAGAAGCTCTCCTCCGAAGCCAACTCAAGCACTGTGTAGGTAAATACAGTGTGAGTAGAGACTTGCTGTGTCTTTGCTTGTTTAATTTGTTTCACTTCCAATGGTAATTTTGTTTGAACAAAACCAGAATTGGCCCCTTAAGGTATAGACACGGCAAGAAACAGATTTTTTACAGTCTGTTTAAATACTAGTAGGAATGAATGTCGCTCACCATTTACACTGACAGGGTAAAAAATGTGCTTGCATTTCACCCAGGAGGAATTTTAGGTAGATACTCTGAATTTTATTGATAATATTCTTTTGAATTATTTCCTCTAAAAATATTATATGGCACCTTTGCATCTATAGTGCATCTATCTGCTCTTTTTTATGTTATTTTGAAAATCAAAGCAATTCGTAATGATAAAAGGTAAAAGTTTCACTTAATGATTGTATTTTTACCTGTGCTACATGTGACCGTCAAATACATCTATTTTTTACAAATATTTCCTGTAATTTTTGAAAATTTTAATGGGATAAGAAGAAATGCAGATCCTAGAACTCTTTTAAATTTTGTATTGATAGCAAATTTGTGAGCAGCAATTTAAGCCTCTTTTCTGCCATCTGTTTTGCACTCTGTAAAATAGTAGAATTGGAGAGCAGCAGGTTTATATTTAATGCAAATGTGGAAATGAAAGAAAACAGTTGTGATTAAAACTAGTAAAACAACAAGATTAAGATATTTCACCAACAAATAACATCATTATGTCAGTTTAATTCCTCTCCCTTAAAAGTTTTAAAACCTGAAAGGATTGCTGTGATAACAAAGGCCATAGGGCTTCCTAGAATTTTTCAGAATTCAATTAGGTGGCTTGACCTAGAACTTATCTTCTAGAAACTTTCCAGCCTTGTGAAGAAAGGTCCAGGGGTACAAAGACGGGAAATCCACCAGCACTTTTGTTAAGTGCCCTAGCAATTGATTTCTGCTCCTCTAAAAATATGTAGTCTCATTTTCAGTCAGACTGGTCTCACATTCAGCTATTGGATTGTGTTGTCTTTGACTGCTAGCACGAAGTTTCCCTGGGTAAAAAATTTCTCTTCCTTGTGTAAGCAGCTGTGAATATCTGTGAAGAAGTCATGTCCTTAACCTTCCTCTTGCTAAATATGCTAGGCTGAGTTTCCTAGGCTTTTCCCTCTTATGGAAAATCTTGCATACAGTGAAAATTTTGGGGACTTCAACCTGTTCCACCCTAAGCTTTTCCATTCTTTAATCACTCTAATGGCACCCTCTAATTTTTCAACACACTCTGTGAAATTTGAATGCCAGAACTGGACACAGGCTGTGCCTGCAGCAATGCCAAGCAGAAAGGTACTGAGAATCAATTTATTCATGTTTCTGTCCCCAGAGTTCATACCTGCATAATTCAATATACTGAAATACATGGTCAGTTTTTTTATTATTATTCTACAAATCTGAGGCTTTTCCAGAGTTGTTGTTCTCTAGATCCCCTTCTTTCCTCTGTGCATTCGTCCTCCACGCGGAGGTGAGGCTTACACTGGTAGCGTTGATGTTGAATGCTTGCACACAGCTTGCCAGAAAAGCGACATCACACTAGATATAAACTTTCCACTATTTTTTAAAATTATTTTATTTTATTGAGTGTTAGTGTCCCCTATAAAGTCTGAAAAGCCAGGAAAGAAGTATATTTTTCCGAAATCATATTAATACAGACTCCCATTTCAAAACAAAGTAGTACTTTGTTTGCTGTAGGATGACAACAGTTCTTATTATCCCAGTCATGGTGAGATCAGGTAATAGAACGTGGTCTGTTTAACATGGAAGATTATTATTCTCCTGTTACCCGAAAGAATACACAGCAGTGTTACCACAGTAATTTCATATTACTTCAGATATTCTCAGGGTATTATGAGTTTTTAGTAATGATGGAAACAGACAACAGGAGTGTTGGACAAAGCCAAAATGAAAACATTTGGCTCCCACCGAACTTCCTTCAGGTTTTTTTCATTCTCAGTGAATTTTGTTGTTAACGTCAGTATTTGTTCTGTCTGGGAGGCATAAGGTAACAAATTGCAATGGAGAGAGATCAAACTAAAAAATGAAAAATCATCCAGAGACACAGCTGACGAGAGATCAGAAAGGGAATAGGAGGATTTCTGTAGGTGCATCGTGTGCCTTTGTCTAGACACAAGTGACAGTGTTAGCATGTGGCTCGTCCCACTGCAAATTGCACAGAAAAAAAAAAGGTAAGGATTAAATTCTACACCTGCTGAAAAAAGTATGAATAATCCTCACAGAAGAGAATTAATGATTGTATTGCCTGAACAAGCTCAGAGGGCTGTCCAGGAGCCAGGCCACCTTTCCAGACCAGCTCTCCCCTTCCCTCCTTTGTTCTCCCGTAACACGCTCCGTATAAATCTGCCGAGCTTGGTCTCAGAACCACCTTATTTGGTCTTCTCCCAGGCAAACTTTCCCTGAACTGCAATATAACCTGGATCAGTTCTGTGCAGTCTGTAGCTGCATTCTTCCTATTGCTGCCTATTCATTTAGGTCCAATTCCTGCACAAGAGTCTATGCTCTTTCTGCAGTGTCATGGATATCGCCTCTGCGAACTGAAGTGGTGACTAGAGTCTTGTACCGTGGCTGAAAAGGGGCTGCTATGGATCAGAGCCAGCTGGCTTGAGCCCTGGTCAGGATGCCTATAGCCTATTATATAGATAAATGAATGATCCCTTCTTATTCTTATGCCCTTTTGTAGGATCCTGCTGAAGATTAGGTGATCCTGTGGTGAGCAGCACATAAAAAGAAAAAGGTCACTAACCTAATTGTCAGTTGTCTTCACTAATGACACACAATGTTAGGATGTGGCATAATCAAACACAAAGGCTTCTCAGTACATGGGGAAAAGAACAGAAATGCTAACTATTTTTGTAGGTTGCAAGGCTTTTGCTGTTTTGTGAAGTAAAATCTTCGTCTGTTCTCAGAGCTCAGCTACTGCTGAACTTTCAAACACATGGAGTTTTCTTCCTAAGGGTAAGTGCGTTGTTAGCACTGTGGAAGTCTGGCAGTGTCTTCAGTAAAGCCCACCAGCTTCAGCTGCTCAACTAGCCTAGTGCTCAAGGACTCTTCTTGGCCACTAATACCTGCTATGCTTTCTCCCTGTCCCTGTCCTCCACATTCTGCACCTTGCATCCATCTTGGTCCCTGGTGAACGAGGATCTATTTCACTAAATTATCAAGAAGGGGTACGTGGCAAACTTGGCGAGGAAAAAATATTGTTCAGTAATATCGCTGATAGAAAGGGTGAGCACAGAAGGGTTTACTTACACAGCTGGCGTGGGGAAGGTTACGGACTAATTCGGTTTCTGCTGCAGTCAGCAGGTGTCTTTCTTAGTATGCAAGCTGCTTTGAATTGAGGATGGGGCTTGAGCTAAATCCCTCACAGAATGCCTAAAATGTTTGGGACATTCTTGGTCACAGGTCCTCAGATGGGCAAGAATGAGTAAACATAGCGTCATGTAGCCAGTGGAGCAATCTACTGACATTTGGTCTTTGGTGCGTCCCTCTGTGAGGAGGATCCCACAAAGACTCCCTTTGCCAAAGCTGACATTGCACATGGTTATCATTACTTATTGCTCTGCTGATACTGTGAAATGTGTTTAGCAGGAAGGAGTGTAAGGGCTAGCAGAAAAAAAGGTCTGTCCAAAACTAGGTAATTACTGGCTATAGACCAGTAAATCTGGGCAATAAAAGATTACTTTGCAGTGGTGAAAAGAAAGTCATTCTACTTTTGCAAATACGTAAAATAAAATAAAAAAGCCTTTATTATGGAGGAAGGATGTAGGCATAATCACGATTGAGAAATTTGTTCACTACAGAATCCAATGTAGTAAGAAAAGCTTCTCGAGTCCCTAAGAGTCTGTAAAGATTCAGCAGCTATGTATAAAAATATTTTCTATTGCCGAAATTACTGCTGTCATCAGAAAAAATAGTTTCTGTTTTTTAAAACCACTCTTTCATCCAGCAGGCAGCTAATTTATATCGCCGTATAATTAACAAACTCACATAAAGCTGCCCAAGATGTTACAGTCGGGAACCAGACTAAGTGCACAATATAATGATTACCCCCAAACTTTCTTAATGATTTTTACTGAAGCATATAATTATTATTACCCAATAGCTTAGAAGCTTGCATCTTGATGATGCGCTTTCAAAGCATGTTTGGTTAAGCGTTGTCTCAGAGGTTGGCATGGCTCAGAAGGGGCTTTACCAGGGAGCCAAATTCTGACACACACAAAGGTGCTGTCTTCGTCTCTTCTGCA